AAAAAAAAAAACAGAAAGCGACATGTATGAAAAAACAGCAAAAGTCAGAGGGAACAAAATGCGTGGTGAGGATATCCCGTTTTCTGTGATAAAGCCAATTTCACAGAAAACGTAATATGGGTCCAGTCCTTTGAAATTTTGAATTTTTTCATTGCTTTCGAATGGCCCTTTAACAATCGTGGAATTCCTTTTTTATATCCATGTGCAATGTAGACTAAATGGACAAATAACTCAACTATTTATATCTATATAATTTGATTGTTTGGTGTGTGATTCTATTAGCAGATAAGTGAATTTGATGCAACGTATGGAAAATGGTCTCTTTTTGCACATTTACATTTACCTTTCAGTTTGTTCATTTGATTTGATTTCTGTCTTGTTTTTTTTTTTTTTATTGGGAAGTTTGACCGGATGCCCTACATTATATAAAAATATTTGCAAGGAGGCTTTTAGCATGTATTCTCTCTCTCTCTCTCTCTCTCTCTCTCTCTCTCTCTCTCTCTCTCTCTCTCTCTCTCTCTCTCTCTCTCTCTCTCTCTCTCTCTCTCTCTCTCTCTCTCTTCCTTCCTTCCTTCCTTCCTTCCTTCCTTTGTTCACTTATTAGATTTTCAAAATATCTTGTTTGTATGATGATTTGGAAGAATAAGCTCCCTATATATGTGTATGTGTGTGTGTGTTTATATACGTATAAGTATATATATATATATATATATATATATATATATATATATATATATATATATATATATATATACGGGTGTGCGGGTGTGTGAATCCTATAATGTTCATTCATTCAAAGTGACCCATTACATGAACAAACACACATAAATCAGCAATGAGAAACCAAACATTCCGCTATATGTTCACGTGAGTCAATATCTTACGTTTTTACGCAATTCCTTTGTACGAACGTTGCGTGCACAGCGGCTTACAATAGGAGTAAACTTAGGTGTTAGAGAATATTTAATGTTAAAGCTCATATCAAAGCTATTTAGATTATGTATAGTGTTTGCATCATACATGTATCATTCCGTGTTGCCTTTGTGTTCGTTCATAAATTCTGATTATTTCGCAGATTACGGCCTCGAAAACCGATTAAATTCGCCAAAATGCAACAATATATTTTCTCGTGTCACCGCAGCTAAAAGAAGAAGTAACACACTTTCCATGTCGGTCTGCAACATTTCCAGCGCTTGCATCTAAAACAAAAGAGTCACGGAGAGAAAGTCTGAAAAGGCGTCTTTCTTGCTCGCAGGTGACGCCTCGCGGTCGAGATCCCAGAACGAGAACTTCCGCAGGATGGTGCCCACGCCTGCAGTCTTCAACAATGGATTCCAGGAGACCCACCGCCTCGCCGCCACCCACGCCTCCTTCAGGTTCCCGGCTTCGCACCAGTTCCGCAAAATGGCCAAGAACCACGACGCCAGGAAGTACTTGGCCGCCCTGTCGCCCTCGGGGTCCAGAGCCAACGCCTCGACCTTCTCCTCGCACGAAGACTTCAGGGCGAGGGGCTCCTACTTCCTCAACGCCCGCGGGTCTGGGGAGGAGGTGTTCCCCGCCCACTACGAGCAGAGGACCTGGACGGCCGCCCCGAGACTGGACCTGCTGGACCCGGACACCACGACCAGGGACCCGGCCATCCCTGAAAACCCGGAAGGACTCAAGAATCCTTCCCTGCTAGTGGGACTCTGGGAGGAGGAGCCGACCATTCGGGAGACCGACGCTTACTTCAAGTGAGTTTTCTTTCGTCTTTCCTCCTCGTTTCTCTTTTCTTTTCTTTCCTTTTTCACTCTTCTTTTCTTTTCTTTTTCCCTTTTCTTTCCTTGGCTTACTTCAAGTGAGTTTTCTTTCGTCTTTCCTCCTCGTTTCTCTTTTCTTTTCTTTTTCACTCTTTTCTTTTTCCCTTTTCTTTCCTTGGCTTACTTCAAGTGAGTTTTCTTTCGTCTTTCCTCCTCGTTTCTCTTTTCTTTTCTTTCCTTAACCTTTTCATTTCTCTCGTCATTTCTCATTTCTCTCCTTCTCTTTTTTTTTTTCTTTTTCACTCTTCTTTTCTTTTCTTTCCTTCTTCCCCTTTCTTTTCTTAGCATTCTTCAAGTGAGTTTTCTTTCGTCTTTCCTCCTCGTTTCTCTTTTCTTTCCTTTTCTCTTTTCGTTTCTCTCGCCTTTTCTCTTTTCTCTTTTCTTTTCTTTCTTCTTTCCCTTTCTTCTGGTCTATTTCAAGTGAGTTTTCTTTCGTCTTTCCTCCTCGTTTCTCTTTTCTTTTTCTTTTTTTCCCTTTTCCTTTCTCTCGTCATTTATTTCTCTTTCTCTTTTCTTTTCTTTCCTCTTTCCCTTTTTCTTCTCTTATTTCAGTGAGTTTTCTTCGTCTTTCCTCCTCGTTTCTCTTTTCTTTTCTTTCCTTTTTCACTCTTCTTTTCTTTTCTTTTTTCCCTTTTCTTTCCTTGGCTTACTTCAAGTGAGTTTTCTTTCGTCTTTCCTCCTCGTTTCTCTTTTCTTTTCTTTCCTTTTTCACTCTTCTTTTCTTTTCTTTTTCCCTTTTCTTTCCTTGGCTTACTTCAAGTGAGTTTTCTTTCGTCTTTCCTCCTCGTTTCTCTTTTCTTTTCTTTCCTTTTTCACTCTTTTCTTTTCCCTTTTCTTTCCTTGGCTTACTTCAAGTGAGTTTTCTTTCGTCTTTCCTCCTCGTTTCTCTTTTCTTTTCTTTCCTTTTAACCTTTTCCTTTCTCTCGTCATTTCTCATTTCTCTCCTTCTCTCTTTTTTTCTTTTTCACTTTTCTTTTCTTTTTCTTTCCTTCTTCCCTTTTATTTTTTAGCATTCTTCAAATTTAGTTTTCTTTCGTTTTTCCTCCTCGTTTCTCTTTTCTTTTCTTTCCTTTTTCTCTTTTCGTTTCTCTCGCCTTTTCTCTTTCTCTTTTCTTCTTCTTTCCCTTTTCTTTTCTGGTCTTATTTCAAGTGAGTTTTCTTTCGTCTTTCCTCCTCGTTTCTCTTTTCTTTTTTTTCTTTTTTCCCTTTTCCTTTCTCTCGTCATTTATTTCTCTTTCTCTTTTTCTTTTCTTTCCTCTTTCCCTTTTCTTCTCTTATTTCAAGTGAGTTTTCTTTCGTCTTTCCTCCTCGTTTCTCTTTTCTTTTCTTTCTTTTTTCCCTTTTCCTTTCTCTCGTCATTTCTCATTTCTCCTTCTCTTTTCTTTTGTTTCTTTTCATTTTCTTTCTTTTCTTTTCCCTTTTCCCTTGGCTTACGTCAAGTGAGTCTTCTCTCGTCATTTTTTTCTCTCTTTTTTTCTTTCCTCTTTCCCTTTTCTTTTCTTAGCATTCTTCAAGTGAGTTTCTTTCGTCTTTTCTTTTCTCTTTCTCTTTTCTTTTCTTTCTCTCTTTCTCTTTTCTCTTCTTTTCTTTTCTTGGCTTACTTCAAGTGAGTCTTCTCTCGTCATTTCTTATTTCTCTTTCTCTTTTCTTTTCTTCCCTTTTTCACTTTGCTTTTCTTGGCAGAAGGACGGATGGAACCACAGATAATGTTAGAATAGGTAGAAACATCAATAGATGATGAATAGATTGATAGATAGATAAGATAGAAAAAAAAAACTACTAGCAAGGTAGATGGATGAATAAACAGACATAACTAAATAAACAAATACACCAAGACTAATAGATTAGAAACACACAAACGAATGAATTCACAGCTAAGTAAAAAAAAAAATCCCAATATAACTCTACCCCATCCAAACACCAAACAGAAATAGAATCAAAATAACTAATACACAAATCTACTCATCCCTCCATCAACAAGAGAAAAGGAGCATCTTGTTTATCCAATCTATTACGTGTTGCAGGGGAGAAAACGGTAGCGCCGTGGAAGCACAGGCCGGGACAACAGCCAATATCCCCTGCGTCATCTTGAATCGTGCAGACCATGAGACGGTGAGGGCGTGTGTGTGAAGGGGGGAGGGGAGGGGGAGTGTAGAAAGAGAGAGAGAGAGAGAGGGAGGGAGGGAGGAGAGAGAGAAAGAGTGAGAGAGAGTGAGAAATAGAGAGAGAGGAGAGAGGGAGGGAGGAAAGAGGGAAGAGAGAGAGAGAGGGAGTGTAGAAAGAGAGAGTGAGAGAGACAGAGGGAGGGAGGGAAAGAGAGAGAGAGGGAGGGAGAGGAAGGAAGAGAGTGAGAGAGATAGAGAGAAGAGAGAGAGAGAGTTTGTGTGTATGGGAAAGTGAGAGAGATAGAAATAGAGTGAGAGAGGGAGAGAAAAAGAGAGAGTTTGTGTGTGTGTGTGTTCCTGGTCCGTAGGTGTTTATTGTAGTATACATGTAATATGTATTTATGTATGCATATATGTATATTTGTATGTATGTGTCTGTGTCTATGTGTATCTGTGGCTGTGCGTGGGTGTATATGTGTTTGTTTGTTTGTGTTGTGTGTGTGTTGATGAAGTGAGTGTGTATATGTGTGTGTGTGTGTGTGTGTGTGTGTGTTGGTGAAGTGAATGTTTTTATATATGTGTGTGTATTTGTCTCTATGCATATGAATACCCACATATGCCTTCCTATTAGCAGACAATGATCATTTTCCTTTTTTCATCTGAAACACGAAAGCTTGAACTTGAACAGCTGCATGTTGACGGAACGTGATTGATACATGATCAGGGCTTTAACGGAGCGTGTCACATTCATAATGCTAATTGCGTGACACGTGTGACAGGTGTCATGGACCCGACTGAGAGATCACCACCTCATCACCGTCGGTCGGCAAACGTACAGCAAGGACGATCGATTCTCTGTCACGTACAACCGACACCTGAATGTGAGTTCGGTGCTATCATGTTACTCTTTGTTGTGGTGTTGTGTTGTTTGGTTTGACTTTTTTATGACAGTGACAGAATATATATATATATATATATATATATATATATATATATATATATATATATATATATTATATATATATATATAATATATATAGATATAGATCTTTTTTTTTTTTTTTTTTGTATCATATCTAGATTTTATGACAATGACTGATTTTTTTATCATATCTAGAAAAAAATGTATAATTGTTCATGATCAAGAATGTATTGTATTGGCATACGTGAGGCAATGAGTATCTTTATTTTTTGAAAAATAGTTATTGACAAAAATGTGTATTTCTAGGAAGAGAAATGAGCGAAAAGAAAATAATTTACATCAGCTTTAACAACAACGAAAACAAAACAACAGCAAAAATATACTAGACCTTCACCTATCAAATATCACTGAACAACATTCCCCGATACATCAGATCAATCAATCCTTTTTACCAAAACACACAAAGATTTTTTTCTGTAATACTTACACCATTATTTTTCTCTGATACTTACACTCCATTTTAATCCCTTTTTAACTTCGCTTCTTTTCTTTTCTTTCTTTTCCTTTCTCTTCATAGGAATGGACACTTCACCTTCGCTATGCCCAGGAACGTGATGCAGGGGAGTATATGTGTCAGCTGTCAACTCACCCGCCTATGGTGTTCATCGCCAACCTCACTATCACACGTAAGTAGTGGCCGTGTGAGGGTGGAATTATGTAAGTGGGGATGTGATGTGAGGTACAAGTATGTAAGTGGGTGTATGGATATCAATAAATTTGTATGTACGTATATAATTGCATAAACAGATACCAACATCGTACGCATGTGCACACGTATAGATACATGCATACGTATATATATTATATATATATATAATATATATATATATATATATATATATATATATATATATATAATATTATTACATGGATGTATAAATACCTTAGTCTATTCATCCATCCACCCACCGATCCATCCACCTACCCACAAAGTCAATCGTACATACACATATACATAAATGCATACACACACACACAACCATCCTTATAGCCCCCCCCCCCCCCCAAATACACACACATACACCTACACACACATACACAACCATACTTACAGCCCCTTCCACACACATACAACCATACTAATAGCCCCCCCCCCACACACATCATACAACCATACTTATAGCCCCACAGACACACACACAATACCTACAGACCCTCCCACACACATAAACCATACTAATACACCCCCCCCCCCCACACACACACATACTTATAGCGTCCACACACACACAAACAACCATACTTATAGCCCCACATACACACACCACGCACACAACCATACTTATAGCGCCCCCCCCCCCAATACACACACAGCCATACTCATACCCCCCCTCACACAGACAACCATACTTGTAGCCCCCCCCCACACAACACACAACCATACTCATAGCCCTCCCCTCACACACATACAACCATACTAATAACCCCCCCCCCACACACACACACATACTACTATAGCTCCCACACACCACACATATACTTATAGCACATAAACACACACAGCCATACTTATGCCCCCCCTCACACACACACACACACACACACGCACACACACGGCCCCCCCACACACACACCATACGCACCCCCCCCCCCACACACACACACGCACACACATCCATACTCATAGCCCCCCCACACACACACACAACATACATAGCACACACACACACACACGCACACACAACCATACTTATAGCACCCCCCCCCCCCCAACACACACAACCATACTTATAGCCCCACATACAAACACACACACATACACACAGCCAAACGCACCTTTTTACCTATGCAAATGCCACCTGTCACGCCCGTTTACCTTTCCTCAGAAGCCTCAGCAGAAATCCTCGGCAGGAATGAACGATTTGTACACGAGGGCAGCGCTGTGGTACTAACGTGTATACTCAAGCACCACACTCAGCCGCCAGAGTATGTGTTCTGGTACCATAACCGTACCATGATCAACTTCGAGACTAACAGACAGGTGAGTTGTTGTTTTTGTTGTTGTTGTTTTTTTTTTGGGGGGAGGGGCGGGGTGTTTTTTTGGGAATTTTTTTGTTTTGTTGTTGCTATTGTTGTTTTTTTTTTGTTGTTTGTTTTTGGTTCAGTGTTGTTTCGTTTTTTTTATTTCTATCTATCTTTCTTTTCTCTTTTTCGTTCTTTATTTCATGACGAATTTCGAGACGAACAGAGAAATAACTTGATGTTATTTTTTACTGTTGTATATTTTGTTGTTGTTCATGTTATTGTTTTATCGATGTTGTTTTTGTTTCTTCTTCTTCTTCTTCTTTAACCAATTTCTAAACTAACAGACAGGTAAGTTATTGTTTTAGTGCTATTATTGTTATAATTTCGTGTTATTTGCTTGTTCAGTGATGCTATTGTTATTAATTTCATGATCAAAAGATTATGATTATTATTCATCTATCTATTGATATATAGATTAATTCAAATTCGTTTCTGAAATATTATTCACGTCAAATTCGTTTTATTAATAATATCCAGATCCCCTTAGCATATAACATAACATATCCAGATATACATACATTCTCTAATCCATTTAATAGAAAAAATCATAAAAAATATATTATCCTAAATCAAAATACATATTGAAAGA